AAAAAGACAGGCCACAGGTTGGAAGATGGTATTTGTAACTCATTTAACCAAGGGACTGATGTCTACATACATAATAAACAATCCAAAATAAAAATGTACCAAAAAGAAATTTGTAGAGAAAGATACCTTACACTTGCCAATAAGAAGAAATAAAAAAGAAATCCAACTCGTCTAGTGATTAGGGAAATATAAATTAAAATACTGAGCTAATCTACCATCTGATTGGGCAACATTTAAAATATATAATAACCACAAGTGTTGGCAAAGATATAAAACAATTGGAATTTGGTACTTTGCTTATACAATTAGATCCACATTGGTCATCAAGGACAGATTTCAGAAACATAATGTGGAATGAAAAACTTGCAGAACTATATATACAATGTATTAGTATTTCATTGAAATTTTAACTCTGAGAGGGAGGAAGTGGCAATGAGAATTTACAAGTTTCTATAAGGTTTTATGTATTTATTTATTTTTAAACTAGGGTGTGATATCTATAATAAATGTTAACATTTTAATCTCATGGAAGGCACATGTGGTCTCATTATTTTCTTCATGCTTAACAGCTTAAGTATTAAGACTATATCACTATTTTAAGTATAACTGTCAAATGTCTTTAATACTAAATTGAGTTTTAAATGAGATTGAGCCAGGTAAAAGAGAGAAAGATAATTCAGGCAGTGAAAATAATATAGAGTCAAGGAGATGGTGACTGCATTAAATATTTAAGTACCTCGACCATAAGGTTAAAAAATGCAGATCATCTTTGTTGAGATGGGAGGATGGAATGGAAGTGTAGGCAGAGGTCAACTGTGGGACTTGCTGTGTTAGAGAGCCTACACTCTGTCCTAGGTCAGTTGAAGAGTCTTAAATAAATATAACCTAGTAATATTTGCAATGTGTAAAGATGGCTAAAGCTACTTTGTGGAGAAATGTAGTGGCAATAATGGGGATGGAGAGACCAATTAGGAGGCTATTTAAGTAGTCTAGGCCAGTGGTTGGCAAACTGTGGCTCTCAAGCTACATGTGGCTCTTTGGCCCCTTGAGTTTTTAGCAAAGGTCAGCTTAGGAGTACCCCAATTAAGTTAATAACAATGTACCTACCTATATAGTTTAAGTTAAAAAAATTTGGCTCTCAAAAGAAATTTCATTTGTTGTACTGTTGATATTTGGCTCTGTTGACTAATGAGTTTGCCGACCACTGGTCTAGGAAAAAGAAAGAGACTAAATTAAGATTGTATGGGATCAGAGAGAAGAAAACAGACTTGACTATTCCTATATTTAAAAGGTACAGGCAGGATTTGGTGACAATGCATATGGTAGACAGAGGAAAGAATGGATAATTATAATAATAATGGATGCCTGTGTGGATAATAATAACATTAGCAGAGAGCTGGATATGGAGAAAAAGCAGACTGGTGTGGATGATGAGTGTGGTTTTAAATATATTATGTTTGTGGAACATATTACAGTTATGTTCAGCATGCAGTTGGCTATATCAATCTAAAACTCATGGGAGAGGTCAGAGCTTGATATGAAGTAGTCACTATCCCAAGGACCAAGGATATAAAAGATATTGCTACATGACAGGCTAAAGCTGTTTTTGTGGTTACTCATTACTTACTGCAGTGTCATTTCTATATTTTCCAGCACTCAGTCATACCACTTAACATGTCTTCAGTATAAGAGGTGAAGTCCGTAGCCTACATAGGGTCTTTAAGGTAAAGAGTTGTATGGAAAACACAGCTTATTCTTGTATTATTATTTATTAAATATTTCATTATTTTCCATATAAAAAACTGTCAACCTACTTTTGCCCCACCCTGTATAAATGCACATTGAATATTTTTAAAAGAATGCTTCTGTATAATCTTATTAACCTGCCAAACATTTATTGAGCACTACTATGTATGCTGGGTATGGTTTGATTGGCTTCAACTAGAGAGATGAATAAAATAGTCCCTGATTTCCAGGATTTCACAATGTAGTCAAATATATAGGGATATATAGATATTAAAGTACAAAGTGAGATAAGTTCAAAGCAAAAACACACTCAAGGCATATAATAGGAAGTAGCAATCAGTTATGTTTGTGTACAGACAAATTTCTCAGAATAAGTGGTGTCTGAAACATCTTTTGAAAGGTGAAGATGACCCAGTCTGCTTAATGAGGGGCAGCAGAGGGGAGGCAGGAATATTTTGAAAAGAGAAAAAAACAGAGTTCCTTGTGTCACAGATAAGTAGCTGATGCATTTGGGAATTGCCTGTGGGTGAAATGGAAAGGAGAAAGGATAGCTGGAGATTGGTGGGAGAGGGAGATGAAAGCTAGTCATGCAAATTATGTAGATATCTTTCTGCACTCAATAGTTCACTTATTCAAGGTTTTATTATAAAATGGTATCTTTGAATGATAAAAGGAAAAATTGTGAATCAAGGTGGCAGATGGAAGAACTGAAAATGAAAAGTAAAGATTGGAGGCCACAGGGACGACCAAGGTCAGCTTTAAACTCAGCCTCCAGATGAGTTAGTTCATTGTGTGGAGTCACTCATCAACTTCTAGCACATTTCAGGCAAATTTTTACCAGATCAAGCAGTACTTAAGTGAGTCTGTCTAAAAATTAACATTCTATTTCTGTCTATGATACCAATACTGACAGTGGTATTCTCTCATGATATTCTCTCGTGTCTTGACTCTCTTCCACCAGGGCTATTCCAGCCTTGCTAACTGTGGTGCTGACACTGCACTTATTCTCTTCTATCTGCCCCTTTTGCACTTGACAGATCCCAAAAGGATGTATTATGCTCCTTAAGTAACTGTCAAGGTCTCTGCCATAGAAGTCAGTGACAGCTTTTTAAGGTATGATTTCTGAAATGGGTCATGTGTTAAAATCTTTCACCATTTGTGTAATTTCCAGGAATGGCTCACCTAACCTTTTGTCCTGTTCTGACTCTGCAGAGCGGCTTGCTGTGTCTTGCATGTTGTTTTATGTAAATATTTCCAGAATATAGAGACTATAAGCATAGCGAAAAGTCCATAAGTAATACTCACAAGGACTTTTAAGGATGCTCCCAGACTTAAGGTCCCCAAATCTCCTATTTATCAGGAATTGTGTGTTTATACTTGGTGATTATTTCTTTTCTGATCCTCTTTAAGATAGATTTTTAATTATTTGGATTTTCCAGCCAAACCTTCCTGAAGATCAAGGAATATGGCATATTTCCACACCCTATGTTTCTCAGAAATTAAAATTTGAAAATAGCATTTAATGTGTGAATGTATGTAAATAAATAAACAGTATTAGTTGTTAATAAAGTGCAGAGATACCAATCCATCTAAATATGTGGCCTGTAAATCTAATCTTAAAACAGTAAAGGTAGAACTTAATGTCATCTTATAATGGGCCTAAGTATAGTTGCTATTCTCTAAGCCTGCATATACTGGACTTTTAACATTGTTTTCCTGAAAACATTCTAAGTGGTAAGTTAAGTTGGATAGAAGAATGTGTGTGTCCACTGTTTGTATTCTGATTGTTTCCTTCAAATGAAATGCTCTCCTTTATCCAGATGCTACCATGCTTCATAGAAATCCTCAGGCTACATCTTTTACTTGAGTTCTTCTCTAATAATAAAGCAATCTTAATTAATCTTTCTATTCTCTAAGAATTTGTAATTGTACTATGTAATTAAACATTTCATTGTATAGTGTTCTTTATGATATTTACTGATTACTGATAGGGGTTACACCTCTTTCCCCAGTGACACTAAACTTCTCTATGACTCTCACAGACTTACACTCTAGACATCTCACTAGCTATTCACACCAGTACATTTCAACAAGTGTTCCATGTTCATCCAGAATAACCTTTCATTCATGAACTCATTTAATCATTATGTGTTGAGTTTCTACAATGTACCACACACCGTTTTAAGCAATTTAGATACACCATTAACAAACACACAAAAAATTGAGACACCATTGAATTTTAATTCTAGTTAGAACAGTCCAGATAATACATAAATGATGTAAATATATAGTATGTCAGTTTCTCATAAATATTATTAAGAAAATATGAGGTAGAAAGAATTAGGGTTTGCTTCTAGGGAATAACAACGGAAAGTCTTAATATTAAACAGGACAGTCCAGGAATTTTTAGAAATGCCATAGCTAATGTGATCAAGAGATTTTCCTAGTGTCCTTAACAAAACAGATTAAATCAAGGTGCCTATTTACCTAGAATTAAGCCAATCTTATCCAACTTCTTTCTCTTTTTAGGGTGCTTAAATTAATATTTTCCTTTAAAGTTTTTTTAAAACAGCTCCATTAAGCTATAATCGATACACAAAAAAATTGCACATATTTAATATGTGCAATTTGGTAAGTTTTGGATATATGCAAACTACAGTGATACCATCACTACAATCAAGTTAGTAGACACACCCAACATCTCCCAGAGGTTCCTGTGTCCCCTTGTTGGTTTTATGTTTCTTCTTCTTTGTTTTTTACTTCATGAATGAACGTGTGTGTGTGTGTGTGTGTGTGTGTGTGTGTGTGTGTGAACATTTTAACAGAAGTTACATTTTTAACAAATTTTGAAGTTCACAAGATCATATTGTCAATTATAAGCACTATGTTTAATATCAAGCATATCTCCAGTCCATTATGAAGTCTTAAAGAAAGGATTTATATTTTTATTTTTATAGACAATACCCCTGGTCCTCCACCACATATTCTGAGAATGAAGGAAACAATGTAAAGGCAGTAAAATACTCTAAAAAAGGTTAAATGACATAACTAAATGCAAAAGGAAATCAGGCACACCAGTAAGAGAAGGGGAGAGAGGTTTTCTGTCATTAACTGATAGAGTAAGATTTAACTTTTCAATAAAGTTAACTTAGAGGTGCAAAAAAATAAAAGAAAACATATCATACTATTTTCTAAGAGAAAACATTAAAACATATTTTCAGTAAAAATTATTTAGAGATGAGATGAAATCTTACCATTTTTACTGATGTCGAGTTCTTTAAGGTTAACTAAACTAGCAATAGTGGTTGGCAGACTTGAAAGGTCATTGTCAGGAATACTTAGTTTTCGTAGAGCTTGACAGTTGAACAATTGCTGTAAAAAATAATGATTAATTAGAACTCAATTTGGTTAAATCCATTCATATGTAAAATTAGTAACAAAATTCATCTTTATAAATGTGGTAGTGAAAGGACCAGCTACAAACTCTCACCTTCTTCCACTCCAAAACTCTCTAGTGTTTTCAGAATGTTTCCCATTCCCAAGTTAGTACCTCTCTCTTCTCTGCTGCCCAGATTCAAAACCCAAAGTATTCTATAATACTTTTCCTCCTTCTGTTTACCATTAATGTCCAATTTGCCACTGACCCTGTAGATTTTATTCTTTGAAAAAATTTCTGTAGTTGTCCCTTCTTTTTTATTCCCACAGATATAAGATTTCTTCAATTCTCTTTTCCTGTCACTGTGTTAGATTTCAGAAAGTAGCATTTCAATTTAATCATTTTAAAGAATTCTTTATATAACATGCAAAAATTGATATATATTTGAGTATATGAGCTCACATTTCTCTTGTTTCCCCCCACACTACTCATAAATATATAATTAGTGAAACATACAACCTCTGATACTTGGTTAAAAAAGTCACTAGTGATTGGTTAATTTCTGCCATTAGTCCAAAGTACTAGATGGGAAAATATTTAAAGGGTTCTTGTTCAAAATGTGAATTGTTGCGCTGTACCCAAAGACATACTGATATAGTAGGTCTGGGATAGAAGTCAACATCTGCATTTAAAAAAAATATTTATTTATTTATTTATTTATTTATTTATTTATTTATTTCAGAGAGGAAGGGAGCAGAAGAGAGAAACATCAATGATGAGAGAGAATCATTGATTGGCTGCCTCCTACATGCCCACAGAGCGGATTGAGCCTGCAACCCGGGCATGTGGCATCTGCCCTAACCGGAAACAGAACTTCGACCTCCTGGTTCACAGGTTGACGCTCAACCACTGATCCACATCAGCTGGGCATCAACATCTTGTATTTTAAAGAAGAACTCTAGTGATCTGGTTATTCTGATGTATGTGTTTATAGTACCATATTTTGGGAAACAAGATTTTTTTGCTATGTCCATCTTATCTTGATTACTCAAGATATGAACAGCTGGGACAGAATTTTTATTCTTTCTGGAAGAATTATCTTAATGAGATCCTTTCTGTTTGACATTTCTAATTATGTTTTGCTAAATTTCCACAGATGAAGCCTTTGGTATCCATGACGATGCAATTGGCCCACAGTACATTTAACTACCACTTGTTCTTACATGTAATTCATTATTTATAGGCAGAAATGATGTAAGTCATAGTTGTTATTTCTTAACTCATTAGTTCTTTTAAAAAATAGATTGTACTGGTTGATACTTAAGATGAAATATATATTTTCTTGCTTTTGGTTACTCACTTGTAGCTTTTTACATAGATTATTTGCAATTCTTCATGTAGTGCTAGAATTTTAATAGGCTGTACAGAAATGTTGCCAATTTCTTAATAACAGTTAAAAATAGAAGTTTGATAGTTCCTATTAACATACAATTTTTCTTTAAAAATAGAAAAATAAATGTCTACACTCATGGTAAAATTTAACTAAATTTTCATCCATCTGCAAGGATTACATCTATATACAATGTAATATTATAAATTCATATATTTAAATTTATAAATTCATAGATTTTAAAAATCAATTGCCTCATTACTGCTGTTGGTCAAGTATTCTAACTATCTTTTAGTTAATAGATTGTTATAACCATTTTATGCCAAATTTAGATGACTAAATTTCAAACTGGAAAGGCTTTTTTCCCATTTTTGAAATTTAAATCTCATAATCTCAACTAAATTCTCATTTCTCCCATAAATTAAAAAAAATATATTTCTGTATTCTTCTCCAACTATAAATGCAACCATGTTAGGAGCAAAATACACTGAGAGGCCAGATTATTATGCATTCAGAGATCATAATAATGTGGCCACTCAGTGTATATGGAAATTCTTCAACACTCTATTACACAGAGAATCCAAGACTTCTCTTGTATAGAGGCTAAAAGCATGGTATATGTAATCAGACTGATGTAGGTTCAATCCCCACTCATCTACTTACTAGCTGTATGGTTTTGGGAAAGTTGCTTAACATCTCTGAACCCTATCAATTTCCTCCTCTGTAAAATTAGGACAATGACATTACCTAACTTAAATAAGTTACTATTACTCATCAATTTTAAGTTCTGTGTTTTTTACATATTAACATCTTTGATATTTGGGAGGCATATTACAATCAAGAGCAAGTTATAATTTTTATGGAGTGTTTCTTAGTGCTACTATAATAGTGATGTCTTATAATCAAAGGCCTTGATTTGATGAAATGAATTACTTGTGAACATGTAAAAATGTGATTGGCACATAGTAAGAGTTGATAACTATTAGTCATTAATATTTATAAAAATTATACAGAAGCACATCTCTCTCTATATATAATCTATTTCTTATTTTCTAGATGATGAGGTCTTTGAAGGCATAAGTCATATCTAATTCATCTTGTTAGCGATTTGTTTCACCTTTGTGTATACCCGTTATTAGCATAGTACATATGTGTGCTTAATAAATATATTTTAACATATACTTAGGTAAGTTGAGGGAAAATCAGTAAATTAATCAGTTACAGCTAATATGTCACAGTATTAGAAGTTTCAGAGAGGTAACAATCTTGTGGAATATAATTTTACAAACAAAGTGAACTTCTGAATGTGAGTTATGATGTCTATAACTTGGAAAGAAATTAAAGAGACATTTTAATGATTCCTTCAAGATTCAAGCTTTGAATGAAAATGAAGTCAAGGATGGTTATGAAATAACCATAATTCTTCAGTATAGAATAAAATAGCAAATTAATTAATTGCTAATTAGAGTAAGACTGTTAATGCTTATAATTACCCTGCCTTTCATCTGCTATTGAAATTTCACATTTCAAAAACAATGAGGTTGTTTTGAGCCTTGAAATATTTGTGTACTAAAGTTCTTTTTCTGGGGCTAATGGAAGCAATTTAAACTCTGACAGAAATTGGTTTGTGAAGAGCATGCAGTTTAAATTACTGTAATGGTTAGGTGTTTACTAAGAGAGCTAACAAAAAAGAGAAAGGCCTGAAGATTGAAAATAAAAACATATTTGGAGCAAAAAAATGTATATCCTAAAAGGAATTATGCATTCATTCATGGAAAACCATTAATTGATACCTGCTTCAGGCTAGACACTATGCTAATTACAAGAGGCACAAAGTAAACAAGCAATAGCTATTTTTGCTTACAAGTTAATATTCAGACAATAACTACAGTGGGATAATGCCAAATTAAATATTAGGTATGGTAAAAACACACAGGTAGGATATCTGTAGCAGATTATGTTCATGGTGATGATGGGGTTGACTCATGAAAGTATTCCTAAAAGAGGTGATGAAAAATGGATCACCCAAAAGCCAGCACAGGTAAGCAGATGAAGTCCAAAGAGGGATAATATTGCACCTTTCTTGTAGCATCTAAAGATACTCCCAAATATGTGTACCTCAAACTAGTTTCAGCAATTTGCTTGATATATGCAGAGACTTAGATATTGGAGTGAATGCTCTGAGTCTACAATAGCTACATGCATTTTAAATAAATTTATGGAATAGTAATTATATACTATTATAGACATTTAGCACTGGAAATGAAATATAAAAGAAGTTGCCAATTTCTGTCTTCAGCAGTATGGTGAACAAAATCGTCAAAGAAAAACCTTTCAGTGCAACAAAACCACACACACATTAATTTTTCCAATTTGTAGTTTGTAAAATGGTAACACCTTTTGCCAAATTACTAATAAAACAATATATTTTTTGTTTTATTCATTTGAAAAATGTTGTTATATTTTGAATACTATTGATAATTTTTGGATAGTTCTATCAATATATGGCTCAACATTCCATTCTTTTTTATATTGTCTATATATATACATAAAAGCCTAAATGACCTTATGACAGGTTGTCCGAAACCAGTGCTATGATGCACACTGACCACCAGGGGGCAGATATTCAATGCAGGAGCTGCCTCCCCGTGGTCAGTGCGCTCCCACAATGGGAACACCACTGGGCTCAGGGCTGCAAGAGCAGCTGAGGCAGCTAGAGCCTCTCCCACCTCCACAGCAGAGCAGAGCTATGGAGTTGAGGCACAGTGGGGCAGGGGTGAGCAGGAGAGGCTTGGTGCCCCACTTGGCTCAGGCTCCTCCCTGACTGCCTGACTGCTTCAAGCACTGCTACATCCCCTGAGGGGTTCTGGATTGTGAGAGGGAGCATGCCAGGCTGAAGGACCTCACCTGTGCACGAATCCGTGCACTGGGCCTCTAATCTTTCAATAAAAATACATTTAAAAAGTCAAATTTATCTCATATGTGCAAAAAACTGGCCTCCAGATTTTTCCTCCTGAAAGTTTTCATGCTTTGATTTGCCTCATGTAGAATTTATTTTTGAGTATAATATGAAGTAAGGGTCCATTCTTTTCCTTTTACTGATGACCAGTTGTTCTGGCACCATTTTAAACACAGCTCATTGTCTCTCCTGATTTTCAGGACAAGTTCTATTGTATTGTACATCTGATTTCCACATAAGTATGAGTCCGTCTCTGTACTCTGTTTCTAGTCCACTGCTCTCTGTCCATCTCTCGTTCCAGCTGGGTCATTTGAACTCGATGACTGGGAAACGTGGTTGAGCTAGAGAAGAGGGGGAAGGAAAGTAAGAGAATGCTGGGGGAAGGAAGAAAAAGCTCAGCCAGGGTTTGAGAGAGGGGCAGTTCTGTGAGCAGTAGGTGGGGTGGAGAGGGGTGGATTGGGAAGAGCAGGGCAGTCCAGAGAGCGGTACTAGGAGGAATGGCTCAGGGGAATGTTAGGAATGGCAAAAAATCAAAAGAGGCTCTATTCTAAACTTGGTGGGAAGGAATAGAAAAGGAAGGTTTTGGCCAGAATGTGAAAAGATGTGCGAGTCTGGGCTTCATCCTACAGGAGGTGTTCAGATGATGA